TATTATATATCGTTGTGTCTCGCTCAAACGCATTCATCTGTCCTTATCTGACATATTGCAACGCCATCTCTTAGAAAGAGATCAACTAAAATACTGCTCGGTTTCATGGCTTCACGTCAATTTTATTATCGTAGCATACGAACGAAATTTTTGGTGACTTTTTTCTCTTATACCAAAAAGCCCCTACCTCGTTTCTAAAAGCATAGGATTGTTCTTCAAGGTTTTCTGTAGACTGCTGGCTACTTATTTTAAGGGGAAGCTGGAGTGACGGTCGAAGTTAATCAAGGTCGATAGTACAGACTTTTTTAAATTCCAAATTCGACAATAGTGATATCTTTCATTCATTTCTCATACTTATTATATATCGTTGTGTCTCACTCAAACGCATTCATCTGTCCTTATCTAACATATTGCAACGCCATCTCTTAGAAAGAGATCAACTAAAATACTGCTCGGTTTCGTGGCTAAACAGTCATACATTGTCGATTTCTCACGCGCTAGACACACAATTTTGTTCGTTGCGCTAATCTTTTTATTTAGGCGTCAAAACTTAATTCTAAAGATACGACTGTAATCGTCTATTTATTCTACATGTGCTCCTGCCCTAATTTCGAGCATATAACGTGCATATAATTTTTCACGAAGTAAATATTTGGTGAGTTGATAGCACATGGATACAGGAATCTGTAATTTATTATTTTTCCCAGTTTTGGACACAAAATACACCAGGAGCAGGTACATTAGCACGGATATTTCAATCGTGGAGAAGGAATTTTTATTCTGTGCAACTAATTCGAAGAACCGCGCAAGGAACATAAACGCTTGTTTTATCGGTAAAAAAGAAGACTGCAGCATCCCCTTAACATAAATATTTGGCTCGTGCATTATTAAATTCATGATTTTTTATTACATAAATGTCCCATAAATAAATATACATACTTGTAAAGCTGTAATATCCTATATATTGCAAAAAAATCACAATTTTTTCTCTGCAATTATCATCTTTATTGATAATCAAACTTTGATGATAACACTGAAATCTCAATTTTAAAGAAAAATCGAGTATTGTTAAGTTATAAATGCATAAATACATCTACTAAACTAATAAATAATAAAATTAGTACAATATTATCAGTTTTTAACTCTTAATCACTTCAATATTCACAAGGACGCGAACTCCCGTAAGGATGTTGGTCTATAATAGTATCTCGTCGGTGATACCGCCGAAAATTTACCCAGGATTGACGTTCTTTAATAATATCTCGTCAGTGGTAGAATCCATAATTCAAATAAACGCGGCAATGACGGTTATGGTGTCATGTTCTTATTGGCTGTTAGAAATATCAGCTGCGTAAGAGGGGGGGGGGGCGCACGCGCGCACATCCGAGTTTCTTCCATCAACCGTTAAATATTCTCTTCAATTTTATGTTTTATGACAAAAACATAACCTATTAGTAACTTCCCGACTGTTGTCATCAAGTCGTATTCAGTCGTTTTGATTACAAATGTGTTAGATTGAGTGCAATATTTTTAACTCAATGGCAAATGATCGGGAGGTACTTCGGGAAATCTGGGACGGAAAGATTCCAGTCTGTTTTACTCTCAACTCTGAAGAAATTTGCGACTTGCAAGGACCAGATCCATTTTACTTGATGGTACCTAGATTAAGTTATTTTCCACTGTGTACAGAAAAGGTAACAAATTTGCAGCATATTTTATTATATTCGAATTTTATTATTTATTTGCATATAGCTCTATGAATATATGAATAACTGATTGAATAATTTTATCTATAATATTGAATATTGTTTTAGGTTCGAAAACATTTCATACGTCATATACAAAGTGACAGTAAACAAGAACATGAGATGTGGTTAGAATTTAATGGAATGCCATTAAAATGGCATTATCCAATTGGTGTTCTACTA